GCGTGTGAGTTTGTGTGTGTCTGTATGCGTGTCTGCATGTCGGTGTGCGTGTGCGTGTGCGTGCGCGCGCGCGTGTGAGTTTGTGTGTGTCTGTATGCGTGTCTGCATGTCGGTGTGCGTGTGCGTGTGCGTGCGCGCGCGCGTGTGAGTTTGTGTGTGTCTGTATGCGTGTCTGCATGTCGGTGTGCGTGTGCGTGTGCGTGCGCGCGCGCGTGTGAGTTTGTGTGTGTCTGTATGCGTGTCTGCATGTCGGTGTGGCTGTGTGTGCGTGCGCGCGCGTGTGTGTTTGTGTGAAATTAACTCAATTCAAGAGTTTCTCAACACAATGCAAGGCAAAGTAATACAAACAAAAAGACAGAATTCTTCCCTGAATATCATAATTGCACTTAACGTTAAACGCAGGATAGCCTTTTAACCAGCGCTTGACGTTGCCGCCTAATGACCGATCAACACATAATGACCGCCCAACGCTTATAATGACCGACCAACGCTTATAATGACCGATCAACGCTTATAATTACCGACGACGCTTACCTAACAGAACATTAATACTCCTCCAGTTTATAAAGCTGAAGTTTTAAATAGTAACTTCATTTCAACTAATGTAACACAGGTACTGTGCACATTTTATTGTCTACATAATTAGCTGGAGGGTATGCGTGCCGGAAGATTGCAAGATTTGTGTGCGAATGGAGAAGGGAGAGTAACTAGTGTTGGGGTGGGGGGGTCGTTGAAACTCACGGGAAGCGAAGCAGCGAGGCATTGTTCATCGCCAGCTATTTGCATAAACTGAATCTATAATAAGCTTGTCGAACCCACACGTAGTACGTAGTAGGCGAACCCTCCGCAATTGCTTAGTGTCCGCGAATCTGCGTTCCATAGAGAAGGACTAAGCTTTGACTTCACACATGGCTTATATAGAAGCATTGGTGGTGTGCTGTGACGTTCTAGGGAGGGTAGCTGTCACTAACATCTGATCGTACGGCCACAGCACAATGTTTCTACACAATGAAAACATCTCGACAACTGTCGAAAAAACAGTTTCGTCCCACACATGCTCGCGTGTTGTAGCGCTCATTTGATATTTTGAAAAACATTTTTACCGAAGACATAAAAACGGGATTCTGTGTAGAGAGTTTCTGTCATACATGTAGCCGCGTGCTCACGCAAAAACAGTCTCGTATGCTAGAAAACCATGGACGAATGTTACGGGCAAGGCTAAAAAAGGTCTTTAAAGTTTCGGAACCAATATCACGGGTGTATACAGTTCTAATGCTTACATTGTTAGCGCCCTTTTAGGCGCAACTCATATTATCTGGGATTGGAGAATAAATGCTCGCTGATTAGAAACGTTCCGTTAGTTTGAACTCACTAGCAGGTGCGGCAAAAACGTTCCACCACGATTGTATTACAGATTCGCGTGAGCTTCACCTCACACGAAACGCGTCAGTTTATGACAAGCTGCATTCAACGACGCTGCTCTCGCTGAACTGGCGGAAATGTGTTATGATGAGAAAAATCTCTACTTTTGAGCACACGTCCTGCTGGCCTGATGACATACGTAAACCTTATCTCATCTCTTAGCAAGTTGTACGAACGTTAACGCGAGTATCGCATAATTAACACACACACTTAATAATAGTGGTTATGCATTCTTTGTGCGCACACACGCACACACATACACGTATACATATATATAAACATTATATATATATATATATATAAACATTATATATATATATATATATATAATATATATATATGAAATCAGGAGCGTATAATGACAAATATATGACGATATATAACAAATATATGACAATATATAACAACCAATATATGACAAATATAATGACGATATTTGTCATTATACGCTCCTGATGAAATATATGTTTACGTGCCGAAGAAATGCCGGCGATAATTGCAATAAACTAAGGAAACCGATCATATCGAACGCACGCCGCGCGGACGTTTGCGAATCAGTTTGCTATTTGAGTATAACGTTTTATTCCATGATTTCATATATAGAAACTCGTGAGTAAATAACCGCATGCCCAAACACTCGCACGTAAAACAAGATGATTCTCCTCATGTCTCGTTGCTGTTCGGCAAATATCATTACTGCTGAACAACAACAAGGTGCAAACACACACGTCGCGTACGTAACTGCATGCGTGATCATCATGCAGCGTAAACCACTCAAGACAGCATGCTGGCCAACTATAGAATGATTGTGTATATATGTATTAGTCATATGTATATATCATTATTTATCAATCAATATTAATCCTTATTTATTATTTATTTATTATTCTTTATTTATTTATTTTCATTATTTATCATTATTTATCATATTTATCATTATATATCATTATTATTATATATCATTATATATATGTATTAGTATATGTCGCATGAGTGTGCGTGTGCGTGCGTGCGCGTGGATACAGGATCTAGGAGTAAAATCACACGGTTAAGCACTATATATACTATACTGTTTGGCAATCTGCTGTTTGTCACGGCACCAATATAGCGTAGCTCGTGAGCTCGTATAACAGGCACGTGTGATCGTAATAGTCTGACCAGGTTCGTTGTACAACAGATACGTGTGCAAATAGCACTTAAGCCACCGACAGTATAATTAATGCTATAACCACCGAATTGCTACGGTAACTCTTATTATTTAATGAACATCATAATGAAAATTACATACAATACATAGGTGGCTGCACAAGCCAGTAAGCAAATACGATACAATATATATCTTATACACCAGGCACATACAGACAAGCGACTGGTTTACAAATGCAGTACATATTTACGAGCGTGGAGTTCTGCAGGTCGCAGATGATGTCAGTGATGTCCAACGGTGACGGTAGCGTGGTGATCCCCAGCAGGTGATATCAGCGGAACCTGGGTGCTGACAGCGTCGGGAGCTGTCAGGCACCGTGGAACCGTGTCTGCCTTTCTGTCGAAACTGTTCGTTATTTATACTACTGGAGGAATGCGTGGCCCGAGCGTGGTCAAGGCCTGGTTGCGTGCGGTGGTGCAATCCTGTCGTCCTTCTCCAGAATTTATGGACAACTGAAGGTGAGAGTTTCTTTCTCTAGCGAGAGAACGACAGCTGGAGCTTCTAGAAGTCCTTGGGATAAGCGGCAGTTCGATTCATGTTCTTTATCAGTCAGCATGCGACATCAAGGTGTGATGTCCTTCTATAGGTACTAAAATGTCACAGTGTCGCCTTGTGTAGGTGATTACTTTCTCGCTCTCCTTTGTTGTGTCACACGCGCGACACGTGTGACGCTACGCGAACGGCTAACCGGCGGGTGCGACCCGTGCGCTCGGCTCATGTTACCTTGACTGTTACTAAAATAACCTATGACGTGATCTGCTTACGTTTAATGACCCGTGTCGCTGGGTTTTTATACTAGGTTAAATAATTTGATATCTACGCCACTACACGTTTCCGCGCGTGTACACATCTACACTGATTGGGTTCTCAATCGTATGGCCTGCGGAGTGAACGTAACGCACGTGGTCACTGGCCATTATTAGAAAGAGTAGAGATTTGAGACTGAATTTTTCACTGAGACTTTTGAACTGATCAATGCGATTGATTTGGACACGTGTTTTGACCTCACGTCACTAAAACAACAGTGGATAACCTAATAGAATCAACTACTACGTGGTCTTTTCTGGCTGAACGAAACGAATTTCTGTAACAACACGCGATGTACGAATACAAATTAGCAGCGCCTTATACTAAACTCCTATCACATGTATCCGGGAAACCACTCATTGTAAACGAGTAAAATCTGCAAGGCACGATAATAATGTATACTTACTCATTTTATACTGAAGTACATTCGTGTGTTTTTCGGTGATGGCGATGCATTTGAAGCAGTTTCTGGCGCTGCAATTGAAAGACAAATGCGTTCAGAATTGTGGATATCCGAGCACCGATAACAGCGAAACCTAACGCGCGCTCGTCGCTGAAGCGTGTGTTAAAGTTACACACTCTCGGCGATGCAGCATAACCATATCCGCCAGTCGCTAGCAAGAGCCGTCCGACATTTCTATTCTATATTCTATATTATATATTCTATATTCTATATTCTATATTCTAAATTCTATAATCAATATTCTACATTCTATATTCTATATTCTAAATTCTATATTCTATATTCTATATTCTATATTCTATGTTCTATATTCAATAAGAGCAGCGAGATTATTAGCACGGGTTCGCGCTGAGCCAGTTCACCGACGTGGAATATTGAAACTGTTTTGATGATACAATAATGAATGTTCCCCATGCGAGAGACCATACATCAAACGACCATCGTATACATCAAACCACCATCGTATACATCAAACCACAGACGTATTACAAGCCTTCTGCATGAAAGCCAGAAGCTATCTCTCTCTCTCCCTCTATATATATATATATATATATATAAACATTATATATATATATATATATATATAATATATATATATGAAATCAGGAGCGTATAATGACAAATATATGACGATATATAACAAATATATGACAATATATAACAACCAATATATGACAAATATAATGACGATATTTGTCATTATACGCTCCTGATGAAATATATGTTTACGTGCCGAAGAAATGCCGGCGATAATTGCAATAAACTAAGGAAACCGATCATATCGAACGCACGCCGCGCGGACGTTTGCGAATCAGTTTTCTATTTGAGTATAACGTTTTATTCCATGATTTCATATATAGAAACTCGTGAGTAAATAACCGCATGCCCAAACACTCGCACGTAAAACAAGATGATTCTCCTCATGTCTCGTTGCTGTTCGGCAAATATCATTACTGCTGAACAACAACAAGGTGCAAACACACACGTCGCGTACGTAACTGCATGCGTGATCATCATGCAGCGTAAACCACTCAAGACAGCATGCTGGCCAACTATAGAATGATTGTGTATATATGTATTAGTCATATGTATATATCATTATTTATCAATCAATATTAATCCTTATTTATTATTTATTTATTATTCTTT